CAGTTATTTATTTCTTTTTTAAAACTGATAAACCCTCCTGATTTACATATTGCATTTGTCATAAGTGAAAACAGTAATCTGTACTGATTCATACGTTTTATTAGTCTGCACTATCAGAATATTTTTTTATTCTAATTTGCCTACACAATGTTTTCCAACTGCAAGGATCAATTGAAGTCCAAGCGAAAAATGATTTTTGAATGGCCAAGAAGAAAAAAGAAATGCAATCTGTAGCTGTAGCTGTCCCATCCGTGCTGATTTACCTTGCATCACGCAACCTCTTAAAGAGGTTGATTTCTTTCTTACATGTAAGCTGAGAAATAAAATCCTTATTTACTTCAAATGAACTCATGAATAACTTTCATTACCATGTAATCATGCTATGGTGCAATGAGATAATTCTGTTTAAAGAGAAAGCATGTAGAAACACAAAGAAAATTTGTATTTAAAATATAACTGTATATACAAAATACTGAAGTGCGTACTAAATGAAGGCAAAAATACAGGTGGACTGAAGGGGGAAGGAAGGAAAAAAGGTCTTTACCTTATGACAGTCACCACCAGGGATAATTTCTTGAATATATACCAAAGGCCCTTCATTTCTGTTAATTCCTCCTACAATATTCAAACCTAGGCTTGTTCCTTTGCAAACAGAGATAATCTGAAATGCACTGTCCCTAAAAAGAGAAAGGAGAAAAGAAAATTATAATTACTTCACAGAACCAGATACGTTAATAAAGACTGAAGTGATATAGTATTTTTATCTTACTGATCTCACAAGTACGCATTACAGCAACAAACAGAAATAGTGGACGTTTAATCTTAATGTTCAAACATTACACTGCCTACTTACTACAAATTCAGCAACTTCAGTTGTTACTTCTGGCAATTACAGAAAGAACCGATATATTATTTTACAAGACTAAAAGCTCCTCTCTACCATATCCAAGGCTTAAGGTAGTACCTTGGTACACCTCAACCAGAAGCATTAACTCATTAGGAGACACTAAGATCAAATTAAGACACTGATTAATCTACTTCTACCATATAAACAAGAAATAAATGAAAAAAATACCTTATTAAAACTGAAAGTTTGCAATATCAATATTACAACTTACAGGATTTAAAAGAAAAGAAAAAGTTGAACCCTTAGTGCTCAATCTAAAATTTTCCTGAGTGGCCAAATACACCATTTTCTACAGTTCACACAAGAGAGTTACAGTCAGTTCCGGAAATTACTTTGCAAGCTTTGGGGATGGTGCTGGGACACAATTAGTTCTGGCAATGGTTGTGATATTATCCTTTGGATGCAGCTGAGGACTCTGTGACCTTGAGGATGAGCCAGAAGAAGCGCTGTCTATAGATTTTGCTTAAAGAAGAAAAACAATGAAAAAAGAAATAAAACACACACATGGAAAAAGCCACAAAGTTTCAACTCACGTAAGTAGAGCTCAGTGGGACTATTTTCATGTTAGAAAACAGACAAACTATAAGCAATCAAATAACCAAAAGAAAGCTTAAGTCTACACAGCTAAGAACTGTGAACCACCCAGGGTTCCAGGAGTAATTCTTTAAAATATAGAGTGATGACTTTTTTTCAAACTGGGTGCAAAAATAATCTCAACTGAATAATCACTCACGCTATATAAAGGCATCCTAATTAAGCAACCGTTCCACGAGCATTAGAATTTCTGGTATTCTAGCTCAGATTTTTATTAGTACTTTGAAATACTATGGTACATTTAATCTACAAATACCAAATACTTTTCACATTAGTCATGAAGTAAAATTGCTGAAAGTATATTTATTGTAAGAGTTGGGGAAAATGACACAGAAACCTGTGAAGTTACATGTTTAGACTACAAACTAAATGCTAAAGCCTAAGTGAACATGTGTGTTTTGCCTGACTTTCAGTCACTTCCTCCAATACGCCCTCCGCGAAACGAGACGAGTTTTCAGTGCCAGCTTCTACTCCACCCAGGTATGACTATTGTCCTAGAGGATTATGCCAGACTAGAAAGCAATCTCTCACCAGCTAAGAGTTGTGTTGGAGAACTTCTTGCAGAGCTGGTGTCACTGTGAGAGCCATACTTATCCATCAGGTCAAGAAATTCTTTCCTGTGCCAATAAAAAGATGGTCTCCATCAGGATTTGGCAGTAGTTTAAAGGCACCCTTTGAAAGCTGCTACTGTTTCTACTAAATGGTTACCCTTCCTCAGAGAAGGAAGCTCAACCTCAACTGAGAGAGGAAAGCCCTGTCAAATGTTCAGAAGAGGCAAGAAAAAGACAACATACTACGGAAGGACAAGGATGGAATAGCAATGACTATGAAAGAAACGGACTATTGGAAGAAAAGCTTAATTATTACCTCTCTTTACTCTGGATTACAAAACTTTAAAAATTTGTAATTCAAGTCAACAACAGATATTAAGACAGTGGTATTACTTATGTCCAGAACAAGTTATTTGTATTAGAAGGAATTGGGTAATATACCTATAGCATACTCATATTTTTAAAGAATGCTTTTAGTTCAACTGTACTGAACTAGAACCCAGAAGAGACTGGCCAACAAAGCACTAGCACCTAAAAAAAGAGGATAGAAGAAATATTTTTTAATTATTCAAGAATGAGTAAAGCAGATGCTAATTCTTAACTTCTGTTTAGCTTCCTCAGAAATTTGCAGCCTATTTCATGTAAGGTAAATATCACTATATATTAAAGATTGTATGTGCTTAGGCTATGCTTGCCTTTCATTATAATATCTTTTTTTAAATTCTTGGTCAGGTGTGCTGTTGAAAAAAATAAAAATAAAAGCAGTTGTTCTTTGCAGAAAACAATCATATTGCAACAAACAGGCAAAAAAGCAACACAGATGTACATCCTGTATTACACGCACTAAAGAGAAAACAAAAACTCTTGATTAATCTAATACTGAATGCAGTCTAATTTTTAAAAAAAGTTTGTAATCTGAGCTATTATTACCTCAGTGACAACAGATTTAAAAAATAAAAATAATCTAGATGATGTAAAACAGAAACATCAGCAAATTAATATCACAGAATTAGCGAGAGAGAACATAAATTAACTGATTGCAGGGAAGATAATTCCCAAGTAATTCCAGCGACTGCAAAGGGTTGTTGGAAATTGCTGGATGAATTATTTTTTTAAAAATGACAAAATTTATTGAACTAATGCCAGACCCAGAGAACACACATAGACACAGTTGAGTGTAAATCAAATAATCTTTTAGCACAGGAATGTGCAGTCACAAGAAATTAATTCACAGGTGTCTGAGTGAGGGACTGCATGTACTGGCAAATTCTGCACAGGCCTTTGGGCATACCACCAGAACGGCGAAAGGACTGACGGATTTTAATTATTCAAGGAGTTTAGAGGAACTAGGTCAGTATGCTTTAGATAAAAGCAGATTAAGAGTGGACCTCACATATATCTAGGCAGCCTGAAAAAAGGAGAGATCAGAGGCTACAGGGTGATTTAACTGTCTACCAAATATAAAAAATAAAGGAGCAGAAAAAGGAAGCTTAAATCAGAAAAAAAAGGCTAAAGGAATTTAGAGAAGATTCCTTTACAGAGAGATTACTCTGTAAGTGGAACATCCCAGGAAAGGCAAACAGCAGCAGATACTCTTGCAATGATTATCAAATATAGTTACATAAAAGTAATTTCCTCCAGAGATTTAAGTCAAAAGGAGATACAGACCTGGATCCCAGGATTTCCGATGATTCTCTGCCAATATTGGTTTATATGCTTAACTTTAAACAGCAAGGTTAAAGCAATATTTAACATAAATGTCCTTATAATGGAAGGTTTTGGACTGCGTGCTGCAGTGAACAGTTTAACCTACTTATCCAAACTAATTCAAGCTCATTAAAGATTGAAAAGCAAACTTCCGAGTGGAAACAATAACAACATCTGCCTTTTTTCAGAAAGCAAGACCAGCTTAAATCATACAGTTCTGTGGTACTGTTGACCTCATTTTTTATTATTTTAAAATGTGAGAAGTGTTACAAAAATTATCACAGCAAATAGTTTTTAGTGGTATTAACTGGTAACATAACATTCCAGTCCTCTTCATTAAACTGAAATTGGCCTGAGCTTGCTACTTCAATTGATGGAAATAGTCTCAGTATGAATTGGTATCAAATAATACACAGAAAAATGTGACATGTGGTGCTATTCTGTGATCAAAACTAATCTGAAAGAAAAATACACGCAAGCCCGCCCAGCCAACCTTAGATACAGTGTCAGCTTTTTATTTGAGGTTAAAACAATGCTTTATTTTTCTCTTACTTTGCTTCTTCATCTCTGGCAACTAGCAGAGACATGTGATTAGATGCTGATGCTGTTCGCAAGATGTCAACAGCCCTAGAAGGGGGGAAAAACAGCCAAGTAAATATACCAGGGTGCTGTCAAGAAGTACATGGTGGGTAATGCTAAAAGAGCAGGAAAATGAAAAAAAAAATTTCTTAATGTAGTTAATAATTTTGACTGCCAGATACAGAGACAAAAGCTTAATTAAGCACTGGAGAACTGAGTGAAAGACAGCCTGTGGTGAGGCTGTGCCTGGTGACAGGAATAAACCAGGCTTGCCCTCGCTTTCCCTTCCCTTTTGTCCCCATCTCTCCTTGGTCCTTTCTACTGTCTTCCTGGGCCTCCCTCGGGATTAACAGCTTACACCAGAGACAACTCACCGCTCAGGTGCACTTCATTGCTCAGCATTTCCCTCAGCACTACATGATGCAATTTTTCTTTGAATTTTACATCTACATCTGCAACACCAAACTGCATTGATCTCTGGTGATGCAGCTACAGAAACCATCCAACATACTCTACAGACTTTTCTAAACTTCTCCTTCGTTGCCGCATTACAATGACACTCGTTAGATGCCTCATTTACATTCACCGGAATTGAACCAACAGACAGATACAAAAATATTCTAACAGCTTAGTAAGTTTTAATGTTATTTTCACATACATTCTATAATTTACATCATTAAGAAACTTGATTGTTCTGTCATTTCAAAACCATATAAAGTTCTGTCATTTTTCCACGATGGTTTTGCTGAATTAGATTCATAGGATAAATTAATTGCCAGTTGAACTCCAAGGACCTCAGTAGAGTTGTGCTCTTTTAATCAGTGGTCAATAATGTCCAGAAAAAAAACATATAATATTCCAAGCTCTAATAAACATTTAGTAATCAGTACAAACATACCTTTCATTGGTTACTCCAATTAAGTTTTCTCCATTGACATCCAAAATTAGGTCGCCAGTGAGCAAACGGCCTGGTAATAAAATCAACAGTAGTGCATGAATCAACAGGAAAATGGTGACCGTATTACATCACGGTAATAAAACAAGGCTTTTTCTTTCCATTTTATATGATCTAACAGAATAAACAACCTTATGACTTTTAGCAGATTAGGTTGTGATCCTAATGAAGCTAGGCCATTGTCATAAGACTAATAACTATCAATTAGTCTTATTAACCATAGAATAGCTACTGAAAATAAGTGTTATTTAGCTATTTGTATTATTTGCACATAGCACAAATATTTGTGGGACTGGAATTTACATTTCACAGTTGTGGAACTAACATCCAGCTGAATTTTGCTCTTAACATACACCTAAGTTGCCACGTATAAATACATTAATGTTTTATATATTAACAAACACATCTAAAAGATTTTTTAGAACCAATTCTATTTTTAACTTTCTGCAAATATCAAGTTTAGGAATTATCACTTTTGAAGTAGACTTAGATCATTTTAAATGATCATTCTGCACAAGACCAGATGGAATCTCAAAAAACCCCAGGACAGAAGTATATTCTGTAACTTTATTATTGCACTCTAGCAAGTACAATTTGTTCTTTCAACACTGAATACCTAAACCACCACTTAAAAAAACCCAAAATTATCAGAACTCATTAAAAATACTGGTTCTGTGAAGGAAAGGCCACTCTTATCCCTTAGGAGTTAAAAGAGGTTCAGCATCTCAGCACTTATTTAGCAGTGCTAAAGATTGCCAGTTGCTTTCACACCAGCCATATCTAGATTTGAACACATTTTCAAGAACTGGGAGCATTAAAAACTTTTCCCATGAAGGGTCCAAGTTTCATTTCTCTGTCTCACGGTAAGCCACAACATCATGAATCCTGACTAAACCATGCTATTTTAAAAGTTCTTATCCATAAAGTAAAAGAAAGAAGACTTCTTTTGACCGCTTTTTATATGCAGCATGTTTGCAAGAAAAAAATTAAAATTACTTACTATCTACAGCAGCAACCCCTCCGGGTAGAATTCTCTTTATGAAAATCCCATAATCTTCTGCTGTTTGTGCCCGATAACCTCCAATAATTTTGACTCCTGCAGAACAAACAAAGAAACAAGCAAGAAATTGGTTATTCCACCTACTGTGCTAAATGGATTTACAGTCAAAACCATAAAGGCCAGATAAATTAAACTTCTACTGATGACAGTGTGAACTGAAAAGCTCACCAGGTGCTTTTAGACTTGGTTTACTCCAAATCAACAGAATGTGCAATCTAATTACCTAATCCATTTTGGCAATCAGAAAAAGAAATGCGGTGAACAGCTCGATTGATTCCATGGGGGCCCATAATAGTCCTAAGGAATAAAATAAAAGTAATTAAATCCCTAATTACAGAAATGTATGTAGAGCTATGTTAATATAGAAGAAATTACAGTGACCACGTTTTTAACTCTAATACAAACCAAACCCAGTTTTCTACCACTGACAGCTTCATTGATACATCTCTGCCACCCCTTCCCCCCAATGAAAAACCAATCTCCTCACAACAAATGTAGGATGGTAAGGTAAAATAAATTATTAGCAGAATTAAATAGGAACAAAATCCCACAACCTGGTCCAGGTCAGCATTTAGGCAAGAAAAACACATCGTAATGTCTTAGATCAGGTAATGAATATTAAACCAAAACCACAGTGTATAAAAAAATATTTTCTAGGATATCTAACA